GGTGTCCTGTTTATTCTTTTAAGAATACTCCTGTTTATTCTTTTCCTAAGCCAGGAGGGCACAGTAGTTCTGATGGGGGCTCTGTAGGAAGGCAGCCTGCACTGCCCCCTGCCTGAAACCTTGTGCAGGTGTTAAACAGCTGTCCAGCCCACCCTAGAGGTGACTGCATTTCAGCATGCCTGAAGCAACATAGCACCAGAAATAGACAGAAGAATGGTTCCCTGGCATGACTTGCTCATGACTGCTTCAGACCTGTTGATGGGCCTCAGCCTCTTTCCTTTCACTCCCCCACTTTGCAATGGGGCTGTAGACTCTGGGGGAGAGGGGTGGAGGCAGGCAGAGGTGTCTCCCTGCAGCAGATATAGACACGTCTCTGTATTAATCATTCTCTCATTAAAGTTTTTAACTTTGTATTGAGTCCTTTTACATGGAAACTTTGTATTACGTCTTGGTAGAGTAGTCCCTAGGACAAGTGAGGCAGAGACTGTCCCTGTGGGGTGAATGAGGTGGGAATGGATAAGGCAGAAGGTGAGCACCTCTGGGCAGTTGCGAAGGTTGGAGAGGGGATGGAAGCCAGATCCAAGATCAATGAGCCCTGGGAAGTGGGCCCATTGAAAGGAGACTGGACCTGTGGATGCCTTGGGGGTCAGAGGCAAGGGCCTGCTTTGGGAAGTCCCCTCTTTGGAGGTGAATGTGGCAGCATTGAGATACCACGCAGAAGCAGGTGCCACAGACACTAACTGCAGATTCATGGGACGGCTCCAACAGATCTTGTACATGCATAAGATGATAGATCTGCAGGAGGGGGGGCAGTGGTGTAGTGAGGGGGCTGGAGGGGTCAGTTGCCCCTGGGCACCATGCTAGGGAAGCTCCAATTTAATCCCATTCTGCTCCCCCCGTCATCCCTCAGCTCACGTGCTCCTACTCTGCCTTCCACCGGCAGCTGGAACCTCCTCCCTGCCTCTCTGTTCCGAGCCCGACCCTCCTCCATCTCCACGAGGGTATGTCTACACTACCCCCCTAGTTCGAACTAGGGGGGTAGTGTAGACATACCCAGAGAGGCTGGGAGAGGGGAGGGCAACTAAAATGATCAGGGGTTGGGAACAGGTCCCATATGAAGAGAGGCTAAAGAGACTGGGACTTTTCAGCTTAGAAAAGAGGAGATGGAGGGGGGACAGGATAGAGGTCTCTAAAAGCAGGAGTTGGCTGGAGACAGTGCATACAGAAAAGTTCTTCATTAGTTCCCATAAAGAAGGACTAGAGGACACCAAAGGAAAGGAATGGGTATCAGGCTTCAAACTAGTAACAGAAAGTTGTTCTTCACAAAGCAAAGAGTCAACCTGTGGAACTCCTTGCTGCAGGAGGCTGTGAAGGCTAGAACTAAGCCCGGGAAATTCAAATCCCGGGCTTCATTAGCAAGTTCGGTATGCATACATTACCCCCCTAGTTCGAACTAGGGGGGTAGTGTAGACATACCCCTGGACAGTTAGTGCATGCAGGAGCCCAGCCCCAAACTGTAGGGGGTAGGGGAAGATGCGGTACAAGTTCCCCTCGGCTGTGCATGAGGTTCGGGGCCGTGCCACATGGCGGTGGGGTGTATGTGTGCAAATTTTTCCTTTGCCCCCGGGCGCATAACACACTCGTTACACCTCTGGGCACAGCCCTCTTGGGAGAGAACCCACTGCTGCAGCGTCTCTACTAGGCATGCTTCTGGGCAGTAGGGCTAGATCTGGCAGGTGCTAGGACCCTGGGAGAAGGCTGGGCGCTGTGTACATCAATGCAGAACACCCGGCGCCGGAAGCAGCTGGGGGAGCCGGAACCAGCTGATAAACCCGTCAGACAGGTAGGGCCAATGACACAATTTGTTTGCGTATTCATGTTTTGCTTAATGAATATGCAAATATGCAAATAAATGTTACCAGTCCTCTAAAAGCTTGAGCTTGTGAAAGGGCTTACTGGTCCCCAGTATCAAAAAGATTGGGAACCACTGCTCAGTGGGATCAGAGGAAAGTGACCTGTAGAATGTGGTATTGGAGAGTTGTCTGGCAGCCTCCTTTTGGTAGTCAGACCAATTCATGATGACAACAGCACCTCCTTTACCAGCCTCTTTGATTATAATGTCAGAGTTGTTTCTTAGGCTGTAGATCACATTGCGTTCTGCACAGTTGAAGTTATGGGGCAAGCGTTGCTATTTTTCCACAATTTCTGCCTGTGCATGTCAGTGGAAGCATTCTCTGTATAGGTCCAGACTATCATTTTGACCTTCAGGAGAAGTCCATGTAGAGTTCTTCTTCTTGTGCTGTTGGTGGGAGAGTATCTGTGTGTCAGTGCACTATTCGGTGTTGTGTTGAAAGTATTCCTTGAGTTGGAGACAGCGAAAGTAGGCTTACAGATCACCGCGGAACTGTATCATGTTTGTGGGAGTGGTAGGGGGAAAAAAAGAGTCTCCGATATAGGGACAGTCTCTAAGTAAAAGAATAAATGGACACAAATCAGATATCAAGAATGGTAATATACAAAAACCTGTAGGAAATCATTTCAATCTCTCTGACACACAGTAGCAGGTTTAAAGGTAGCCATCCTGCATCAAAAACATTTTTAAGACCAGACTTCAAAGAGAAACTGCTGAGCCACAGTTTATCTGCAAATTTGACAGCATCATCTTGGGATTAAACAAAGACTGTGAATGGCTGGCCAACTACAAAAGCAGTTTCTCTTTTCTTGGTGTTCACACCTCCACATCAGCTGCTAGAAATGGGCCTCATCCTCCCTAACGGAATTGACCTCATTATCTCCAGCCTTACTCTTGATTAGAACACTTTTCTTATGCCTGTATATTTATACCTGTCCCTGGAATTTCCAGTACATGCATTTGACAAAGTGGGTCTTTGCCCACGAAAACTTATGCTCCAATAAATTTGTTAGTCTATAAGGGTATGTCTACACTGCATCCCTAGTTTGAACTAGGGATGCAAATGGAGACAATCGAAGTAGTTAATGAAGCGGGGATTTAAATATCCCGCGCTCCATTAACATGATCTCGCCGGCGCGCTAGTTCGAATCACAGCTGATTTGAACCAGGAAGTGCGCGCCGGGACGCGTTAGTTCAGACTAAAGCCCTTAGTCCGAACTAATGTTACTCCTCAAAAAATGAGGAGTAATATTAGTTCGGACTAAGGGCTTTAGTCCGAACTAACGCGTCCCGGCGCGCACTTCCTGGTTCAAATCAGCTGTGATTCGAACTAGCGCGCCGGCGAGATCATGTTAATGGAGCGCGGGATATTTAAATCCCCGCTTCATTAACTACTTCGATTGTCTCCATTTGCATCCCTAGTTCAAACTAGGGATGCAGTGTAGACATACCCTTATAGACTAACAAATTTATTGGAGCATAAGTTTTCGTGGGCAAAGACCCACTTTGTCAAATGCATGTACTGGAAATTCCAGGGACAGGTATAAATATACAGGCATAAGAAAAGTGTTCTATCCTTGTCACTCAAGAGACAGGGCCTCTGGACTTGCCTGAGATCCTGGGAGAGATAAAGAAATACAGGGTAAAGCGAGGTAATAATAGAACTATTTAAGCAGAAAATGAGCAAGGTTGGAGATATTTGAGGTGAAATGTACCTGCAGTATGCAGATGCAGACCCCAATATTGGCTACTGGAACACTACTCTGATAATAGACCAGGTTTTCAGTTAAATTGAAGCAGGCCAAGGAAGGATTCCCTCAGCCTAGGCACAGCACAGCTGCCTTCACCTCTCTACTGCTCTGGCTAAGCTGTGAGGTCAGGGGAATTCCCAAAGGTGGAATCAGAATAGGCAGTGGATTCTGAGTGGCAACACAACCTATTATGCAGCAAATACAACTTGTTTTGGTATATCTGAGTTACTTATCACATAGCTAGGGTGCCAGGTGGGAATGCAATCCCGTGTCTAGCCCATGCCACCTTCCAAGCTGCCTTGACTACAGTGCTATTTGCAGCAAGATAGCTACCTCCAAGCTAGCTCGTATATGTCCACACATGTTGCCATTGCACTCCCTGACTTCATTGTACACACACCCTTAGACATCATGTCTGCTCCTCTTCAGGAGTAAGTCGGGTGTAGATTTTCAAAAGCTATGCTAGGTGCTGAACTCTTCCAAAAATCTGGCCTCAAGAGGCAATACTATACATTTCTCATTAAATCAGGTTTCATTTCTGCTGCACTCCTGTGCTATTCATGAGATTTGACCCTCATGCCACAGCACTACGCCAGTCATTAGTGGGGACTCTGTCCAACCATGAGACATTTATGGAATAAAGAACTTTGGAAAAACATAGATCATGTGTTTGTTACTTTGAATGCTTTGGACCAGACTTTCAGTTTGAGAAAAGAAGACTGAGTATGTACCTGAGAGCAGTTTTCAAAAATGTTCAGGGTTGTTAATTATTTCTTCTGTATATCCTCTGGAGGTAGGACAAGATGTGATGGGCTTAATCTGCAGCAAAAGAGATATAGGTTAAATATTAAAGAAAAACTTTACAATGACAATCGTTAAACTCTGTAACAGGCTTCTAAAGGAGATTTCACAACCTGTGCCTGTCATTGAAGTTTTTTAAGAATAGATCGGACATAGAGCTGGTGTATTGTGTGAAGGATCATGGTGAAACATACTCCACCAACCCTCCCAATAACAGCTCCATAATACCCCTTGGTCATCTACCAGGAATTCTTACATGGAAAAGTAATAGTTTAGGTTCTCTTGATTGTGGCTTGTCACAGAGGATAGGAATTGTTGACCTCTCACCATCCATTCCAGCCCCACATTTCTGTTTCAACCCGATTAATATGAGCTGACAATCTGCCCCATATATCCACCACATGTAATAGCAGAGGGATATTTCTGAGATAATATGAATGCGCTGCAATAAATATGTGATATAGATTGTCAGTGTGCAGGAACTATTGCTGTTAAATATTCTAATCTTCTCTGTGTTGCTTTGCTTTCTTTTAAAGGAGAACTCCTCCCTGAAGAAGAAGGTAGATACGAGATCATATTCCATCACTTCTTTCACATAATAATATGTAGATTGTCCCTAGATTTCAAATTCAAAATGTTTTGCTTTCCATAGTTATAAAATGGGGATGTGAATGTGTGAGACATATCTTCTTAAATGTATTGTGTGATGGATCATGGTGAAACATACTCCACCAACCCTTCAATAACAGCTCCATAATACCCCTTGGTCCTCTACCAGGAATTCTTACATGGAAAAGTATTACTGGGAAAGTGTGTATCTTTTTAGATGCCTTTAGTCAGAGATCATCAGAGTCCTTGAAAGAAAATTGTTACCAAACCTTTTTCTTCCAATGACACCTTTGCATCTTCCTAAATTTCTTGGACCACTTTAATTTTTATACATAAGTCGCATATGGTGATGATGATGATGATGATGATGGGCTATTTTACTTTTTTCAAATACATGTTTTTGTAATTAACATAAGAACCATAAACAGCTTCCAATTATTACAAGTTATCACATCAGCCTTATTTTCACATCAGCAGTAATTGTGAGGTGTAATCCTGAATGGGCAAGTACACCTAGCACCAGAATGCCCTTGTCAGCAGGGGAATGCTCCCAGAACCATAATCTTCATGGATGCAAAAAGAGAGGTCACAGTGTATGAAGGACTTCATTTGAAAACAAAATAGCATGCTGGCATGAATTTTCCTATGGGCAGCAATGTGAAGGTGATGTCAAACACCCCCTCCATATCACACATCACGTCTGCATTAGTACACAATGAAAATTTGTTCCACTTGGGAGTGGAAAAAATTAGAGGGAACACTAGTCCAAAATATGCCAGACAAATATTGTGGCATTTTTGTTTCATGTCAGGCCTTTATTTTGTGTTCAAAATGAAGTCCTTCATACACTGTGACCTCCCTTTTCTCATGCATGATTGTAAGGTTGACCTTAGTTCTGGACACACTGCAGTAGTCCTTAAAGGGCAGACTGCCACATAATTGATGGTAGACATTCTCTGCTCCTCCTCTAGAGATCTGGGGATCCCACTTTGGATCCACTTTTCTGCATACATGGTACTGTTTGTGGAAGAAAAGGAAAAGAAAAATGGCAGGCTTCTTGGGATGGACTGATTTTAATCAAAGTGATTTTAATTCCTGTTTTTAATCATGATTTAAACCAGTAAATTTTGATGTGAATGATCATTTTCAATGGTGTTTTGTATTTGTACTTTGTAGTTGTTTTCCTAAGGGAAAGTTTATTCTCATTGATTTGTAACCATTAAACATTCTAGCTTGCATCTAAATATAGCTTCTGGGGATATATTTAGCTATATTTAGCACCAGGGGTGGCATAGCCTTGGCCCTCCCTGCTGGCTGGAGAAGAGTGAGGGTTGGCACATTTGGAGAGAGGGGGAGTAGAGTTGGGGCTGTCCTGGTCTCTGCCCTGCCCAATGACTGCCAGGGAAGAGCTGGAGCTGGTCCAGCCTTGCCCCGCCCCCAGCCTCCCACCCACCCTCTAGAATCATAGAACCATAGAGCTGGAAGAGACCTCAGAAGGTCATCAAGTCCAGCCCCCTGCTCTAGGCAGACATAGGAGAGTCAGGGCTGGAATGGCCTTGGCCTGATGGCTGTGTGAGCCACAGCTGTCATGCCTCAGTGTGGTCCTCCCCAGCAGCTGGAAGGAGAGCTGGAGCTGCCTACTCCCCGGGTGGGAGGTGGTTGGCTAGCATAGCAAAAGGGTGATGCAACCCCCCAATTCTTCTTCTTCTTCTTCTTCTTCTTTATTTGCTGGATACATATAAAACAAGTTTTACCTTCAAACTATTTGATTTATTAAACAAAGTGAGCTTGATGTTAGTGAACTGGACTTTTTGTTTCTAGTATCATAAGAGTAGCCATGTTAGTCTGGATCTGCAAAAGTGACAAGGAGTCCCGTAGCACGTTATAGACTAATAGATGTATTGAAGCATAAGCTTTTGTGGGCAAAGACCCACTTCGTCAGATGCATGTAGTGGAAATTTCCAGAGGCAGGTATAAATATGCAGGCAAGAATAAGGCCTACATATTTACACCTGCCTCTGGAAATTTCCACTACATGCATCTAATGAAGTGGGTCTTTAACCATGAAAGCTTATGTGCCAATAAATCAGTTAGTCTATACGTTGCACAGAACTCCTTGTCGTTTTTTGTTTCTAGTTATAATGTCCTTACATTTTATAGTACTACTAGATTTTATTCTTTTACACCTAGTCTTATACTAGAAAGAAAACAAGTTTCTTCATTTACCAAAAAAGTAAAATTTTATCTTGCTGTACTTGTCTCCACTACCTTAAAGATAAAACCTTCCCAAGAGAAAAGCTTTATGGCCAAGATATTCTTATAGTAAACTGATTTGTTGGCTGTAGCATTCTAAAGCCAACCAAACATAAACTTGAGCAGATTTCTGTATCTGATGATTCACTAGCAAGCATCCCCTTGACATTGGTTAAGTATGAAAGCTCAAGCTAATCCTATGTGCCACAAATGGGAAGAAGAAAAGGGGCTGTCTCTGAGGCTATGTCTATACTGCGGGTGTGTTGCAGAAGAGGAAATACAAATGAAGAGCTCATTTGCATATCTCATACTCTCATTTGCATATCTTCTTCTGGTCCTTTTCACAGAGGATGTTTTTGCAATAAAAAGCCCTGTGTAGATGGAGTCATTTGTTGGGGGAAAAAAACCCTTTTACGCAAGAGCCTGTAAACCTCATTTTTTTGACAAATAAGGGACAATCAGACACAAATGATCCAGAACCTCAGATAAATTGTGTGTCAGCCAATCACTGTCTCTGAAACTCTGGTGACTAACATGTAGTGGGATCATCAAGAGCTACATTTTTTTCTTTTTCCTTAATTGCTTGAGGCAAAACCATCATAAATGGTTGAATCAAAAAGAAAAATGTAAGAATTTTTTTGTGTGCCAACTGAAGCATTTTGGTGCATTTGAATTGATATTTTCAGGTTTCTTTTTTAATTGAAGAAGGATTTTAGGGCTATTTGCATTCAATCTCCAGACTGAAAAATCCATTATTTATCCAGCTTTACTTGTCAACCTCTTTATGTAGACCAGCCATTAAAGGGGGATAGAGTGCCCACTCTGTTACATGTAACATTGTCTCTTCATGGTCTGGTAGCCCCAGCTAGTGCTGTGCATGGGCTCTTTTTCCTTTAACAGCAGAATAATGTCCATTTAACAGCAGAATAATGTGATGTTTT